CCCCTCCCACCATAAGGCACTCTGCAGGCGTTTTGTGCGTACTCTCAAGTTCCAAAGATAATAGGAGAGAAGGAGCAAACCACACAAGAGCACCCGCCAACCACCCAATCACGGTTATGACATCAGCTCCTAGCCAAACCCCAAAAGTACGAAGTATAGAGCGGGCAGATGCAAGCAGCAGGAATGTTTTCTAAAAATAACCGACTCAAATCGCGCACATCTAAACGCACCTTTAGACACACCTCATCCCCTTCCACACAGGTTATCTTTTCTGAAAACGTTTTCCGTGGATTGGACATCCTTGAAATATATTTGAGGACTGTAAAAATAATAATAATTTTTTTAAAAATGTGAGTAAAATTTTATCCTGGGGGAAAAGGGGAGGGGTGGGAGGGGGTAGGGGTAGGGTCTTTATTAAGTTTTAGTTTATTGAAAGTTTTATGGCACTTGCAATACACAAAAGTCATAATATAAATGCCGAAGATAAGAAATGTTACTAGAAGATAACATACAATGAAGATAAAACGGAGAGTTACGAACAATAAAGGTGTTTGATAGCGATAGGAATTAGAGAAGGAGCAAATCACAACAGAGCACCCGTCAATCACCCATTGGGGGAGGGGGGGGGAGGAGTTCCTTCTATTCCACAGGAGGCCCGTATACCTGCCGCTGGGTTATACTATCACAGAGGTCCACCGTTGCAGCATTACACGAACACAGCGTTACAAAATTACAGAGCTGCGCAAATTACAAAGTTACAATGTGGCATCGTTTCCCTCATACAGTCAGTGCTGTCTACTATCACGGCGTTGCACCACTACCATACGGGGCTTTATTATCATAACGTTTCATTACTACAGCATGCCACCATCACATCGTTACAGCGCTACTACCACAGCTTTGCACCACTGTCGTATAGCGCTTTACTATTGTATCCTTACATTGTTTCAGCATGACACGATAACATCATTACACAATTAGTTACCCCGTCATTGTCACATTGAACCAAAAATGACTAATTTCTCATGTTGCAAATATTTCACGCTCGCATCAACACAGATCAGACCACCCAAGAGGCCGCCTGCTTCGATGCCAGTTTGTAATGGCCACATCGGGACGCACCAAGCAGAACGATGGAGAGACTTTATAGGACAGTTTTCCTAAGCAGAAACCAAACTCACATACTTGTATGTATAGTATAAGGTTTTACGGCGCTCGCAACTGCTAAGGTCATATGAGCGCGCTCACATACTTCGCCCACAAATTGAGAAGACAAACTTGTAAAACAAAGCCAAAAGTCTAACTTATAAAACAAAGCGAAAAGTGTAACTGTAAAACAAAGCAAAAAATCTGACTTTGAAACAAACAAAAAAGTCTAACACATGAATAAAAGCGAAAAGTCTCTTTGTAAACTTATAAAGTAAAGCGAAAAGTCTCACTATAAAACAAAGGGAAAAGTCTCACAATAACTATTAACTTATAAAACACCACGGGAGTCTAATTACAAATTTATAAAACACCGCGAAAAGTCTAAAAAAAACAACAACTTCTAAAAACCAAAGCGAACTGTCTAATCAAAACCTTTTTAAAAACCACACACACACCACGAAAAGTCTAATTATAAACTTCTAAAACACAGCGTAGAATCTTTAAGTGTAACACAACTGCCGCCCATGTAGAAACACTGTGAGAAGAGGGAACAACAAAACTGAAGGCCACACATCAAAGCATCGAACGAACAAGTCTCCAGCGATCCTCCCTCCCCAGGTGAAGTGCCGCACACTGCAACAACATGGCGGCAAGCTGTGCCCTATTAGATGGTGCAAAGGACGCGCATGACACTGTATCTCACAGTCTACTTTACTCTTTTATTTACAACGACGTGCATGCATCGCTCGCTCAGGTAAGAAAGTGAATGCTAGAAATGCCAAGCCATCTCTCTCTCTTGTTTTGTTCTCTCTCTCTGTCTCTCTCCCTCTCTCTCTCTCTCCC